GGTTATGATGGTTTAGTACATGCGTCAAGCTATTTGAACACTAATTGCGACATCTACCAGTGGTATAGAACGGCGAGAATTTCAAATTGAATTTTGTCCGGATTTTGGCGCTGCACCCTGTATGTACTTGTTTTAATACGACTCGGACACGCCAAGTTTTTGTATTTTATTTTACTTGGTCTTAATTAGAAACCCGTTTTATGGAATTTATGTAGATATTGTGTGTAAATTCTCAAGAGAACAGATATATATTTATTTTATGTTATAGTGAAATTAATATATATACAGGGTGGACCATATGTAAATACACACGAATAAATCTTCAAGACAGGATTTTTGGAAAAAGTGATCTGAATAAAAATTGCTCGGGCTTAAAATAATTATCTGCTGGTGACCTTAGATATAACCTTGACCCCAAACATCAAGGTTATTTGTAAGTCAACTTTTTTAAGAAACATGTATGTTTTATTATAGAATTTTATTCTATGTGATTAAACAAACAACTTCTTTTTGAAAAAAGTGTTTATACCACCTCTATTTTCTATTTTACAAAAATTTACGAAAATTAAAATATCTACAAAATTATTGGTTTCAATAATTTTTTATTCGAATTCTATCAACTTTACCGAAAAATAAGAGATAAAAATTGTTTATTTTCTCATAGAGCTCTGAGAATTTTTTCAAAATTTTATATAAACTTTTTAGTACTTCAAGAAAATGCAAAAATGTATTACTAAAAAATTAATTAGAAAATTCTGAAAAAATTCTCAGAGCTCTATAAGAAGAAAATAGGTAATTTTTATCTCTTATTATTTTTCGATAAAGTTGGTAGAATTCGAGTAAAAAATTATTGAAACCAATAATTTTGTAGATATTTCTGTAAATATCTTAAAAATTAGAAATCGTATGAAAAAGTTTTTCAAACAAAAGTTATTTGTTTTTTTATGTAAAATAAAATTCCATAACAAAAAATATATTTTCTATTTAAAAAAGCAAAGTTGACCTCCAAATAACCTTGAAGGTTGGGGCCAAGGTTAAATTCAAGGTCATCAGCAGATAATTCTTTTAGCAACTTTTGTTCAGGTCACTTTTTTCGAAAATCTTGTCCTGAAGATCGGGTGTATCTATACATTTGGCTCACCCTGTATATACAGGGTGTAAAAAATTAGACCGACAAACTTTGAGGGGAAATAGAGGACATAAAAACAAACATATTTTGTTAGTAATGTTTTTCTCTACGACGCTTCGTTTTAATACTACAGGGTACAAAATAGGAATTTTATGATTTTAATAAAAAATAAACATATAAGTAGAAAAATTAAATTTATTTCAATTACACATATATATTTTAATATTCAAAAAACAATAAACAAAAGTACGGAACAAAAATGCGCAATTGATTAGCTCAATTTATAATAAATGTTCAAAAATTCCTCCATTTGCTTCAACACAAAGATGACTGTTTCAATACTGTTTATTAATGAAGCGTGCTTCACAAGGGTATTTTGTATTTATTTTCACAACTCTTATCGATGAGGCATTGAAACAGAAACAGAATCGTTAACCCGAATTTCGACGATGATTATGACTCGTGTAAGTATAATATCTTAATATTAATATCGTGTAAGTATAATATCTTAATATTAATATCTTAATATTTCCGCTATTAAGTGGCGCATTCTAAAAGTGACTTATGTAATTATTAGTTTAGTAGGTCGCCGTTACGCACTGTTGCTAATATGTCAATAGACACAACAGTGGAATTAGATACAACATATTTTCACTTCGAAACATTTGGGAACATTTTGAAGGTACATTTAATAGTATTTAATTATACATATTTCTCATGTTTCTTAAACATGGACGTATTATCATATAAATATACATTTCAGTCTTTTGTTTGTTATTTAACATTTTATTCAGCTGTATACATTTCAAGTTAAGTAAAGTTATAAAAGTTATAAATAATAGCATGGCATTTTGCTTATACAATCCCCTAAACATACTGATGATACTGTTAATGATATGTCTCTTTTTCGAAGTTTTTGTATCAAAGTAGTTATTCGATAAGCCAATTGTAATTGCTATTGCTAATCTAAGGTTCACGTTACATGTATTGTAAATTTTCTTAAAATATAATTAAAGTTAAGTTTAAAAGTGTATTTGTTTTGTATAGAAACTATTTTAAAAATTTATTTTGAATAAACTTATAAATTTATAATATAATATTGTGTTTCCTTAAACAAAATAAATTTTTAAAATTTAATTTAGTGGAGAAGGACTACATTATCACCTCTATTTCTCTTCGATCCATTATGCAGTGTCGCCACATTTTTATAAATATTGTCCTAAGTCATAAACATTACATAACTTTGAGTCTAAAATTGATTAAATAATACTTAGACAAAATAATCATTACGTCTTTAATTTAAAATATTGATTATTAACAAAGTTATTATATAAAATGTAAAAGAGAGGGAGGGGAGAGCCATAACACCACTTTTCCACTATATTTCATCGAGATGAAAATACCTCCCAAAACTGTCTTTTGTGTTATGCGTTCCAGAGATATGAAACTTCAAAGTTTACAAAGCTACTGACCACATGTATCATTCATGTAAAAGGCTTTAATAATACTTATACTACTATTTAAATTTCAATATTCAATATTCTATTTTTACCATTTAGCCCAAGAACAACGGTGTGAACGTTTTGTAGGTTTTTGTTTTGCTTGAAGTACTTGATTAATGTGAATCCTCTTGTAAACTTTGAAGCTTTATATCTCTGAACGGTCTATGTAAAAGATAATTTTAAGTGTTTTGAAAACATCTCGACGAGATCTATAACTTTTATCTTAAAGAAAAAATAAAGTTCCTTTTAAAAAATGAATTGCCTTTAAAATTATTTTGGAAACGATGATATCTATGATATGATCCACATCAGAGAATTATATGTTTCCCTTCAAACCAAGCAACTTATTTATATATTCACAAATAAGTCCGTATCAAATAAGTATAAGTTAGTATCAAATTTATTCAAAATACGTTTCAAATTCCAATAAGTTTAGCATTTTAAGCAAAAGAAAAATTCGGTTTGTTTACTACATAGAGGTGAAGCAACTTTTCCTTCAATAAAATTTTATAATATTCTTATAAACAGTAAAAATTGGTTTTTTTGGTATATATTAATAAATTTGGTTAATAATTAATTTGTCTGAAGCATTTTTTCTTTAACTAAAATTAAAAAAGTTTTTTGGAAATAAATAAACTCTATATGGGACACTCTGTATTTTTAATTTCTTCCTTTCCCTTTTTTTCTTTTCCTATTTTATACATAACATTCTTTTCAAATCTCATAACTTTAATCACATATTGAAATTATATTTGTACATAGCCTCCGTTTCTTATAACTAAATATCTAAATAATATTTAAATAATCTAAATAATAGTTGAATAATAGTTATCTCTTTATTTTTTATATTAATGCAAAGTACATTAAAATTCAGAAAACAAACAAGAAGGTCACAGATGTTTAAAATAAGAATAATATTCCGATATTTTCTCTTGTAATAATACGTCCATGTAGGATCTTTATAGAATGTCTAATTTTGTTAAGTTCTTTTTGTCTATAAGTAACTGATAACTAAAAAATGCATTAAGTCTTAATATAGCAATGGCGAACTTCCTTAACAATTAATCATTAACTCTTATGCGTTAAGGACTCTTTGGAAATTTATATAATATATTCATTTGATAAATATCATAAATATGACGAAAATTATATCTTAAAAATGAATTACCCGGTACATAGTAGTTGGAAGAACGGTTCTGGTGTATGGAGTGAGTGGAATTTTAGAGGGTTGAAGGTGATAGAACGAAATGGGAGAGAAGGAAAGGAGAGAGGGAGAGAGAAAGAGAGAGAAAATAAGGGTGGCCGCATGCGCATCCCTCGAAATAGCGAGTCTCGGTCACCCCTGCTGATTATGGATGTTTAGTATCGACGTTGTTGCTAACGCGTTGCTTCCTCTCTCGCTTTCATCCAAATAATCGCGCTCAAGAACTACGTGCGAAAAAAGAATCTCTGCCGTCCTTAGTGCGAAATAATGAATGATATCGCGGGACAAAAATTGGAGCTGCATAACAAGGCGCGATTATGTGTTCGTTTCATCTCGCTGCGTTAGTATCTTTCGTCAGCATTAATCATGGTCTGTGACTACAATCATCCTGGAGGAGCAACATGCCGAGCCTCGACTCAAGAAGGACGTGGCGAGAGTGTGCACGTGTCGCGATAGCAACTGCGACGTTGCTTCTGTTCGTGAATAACGTGTGCAATGGCAATCGTATACATGGTGCGTGCGCTATGCGTGCTACATAAAACATCAAATCCGTAGAATAGATTGATTTGAGTCCTACGATTTACTTTAATAGGATTATCGAAACGTCAAAAAATGATTTATTTTATTCATTGTGAACGTTTTTTATACAATTGCGATTCTTAGACAGATTGTCAATTGCAAAATAGAGCAAAGCAGTGCGTAATATTTCGAAAAAATATTTAAACTCTGTCAATTAATCGTTCAAAGTGTGTTTTTCTCTCTCTCTTCTTTTCTCTCTAAATTAAAATATTTTCTTCTGATCGATACAAAGGCTTCTAAAAGTAACTTTTTCATTCAAAGAGTAGTTCATTTCATAGATACGAATTCTCAATTTTAATTCTCTTATTTTTTTCTGTTTTTATTAATAACTTATTTGTAACTTGATTAGAAATGGATCCCACTATCCTGATTAGGTTGATTCCAATTAGTTGATTTGTACAAAATGGTATTATCGAGTCCTAATAAATCATCTAACGCAACGTGGTAATTAGACTTAATTAATGCATGATGACTTAATTAATGAAGATTATTAATAATTAGGACCTTGTTCAAATCAAATAACTGATTGAGATAAATCCGATCGGAACTATAAGATAAATTTCTAGTCTTCTGTTTATACGACGGGCATGTATAATTCAGACAAATTCAAGAGAAGCACGTGTCTTTTGTATCTTGGTTGAATCGCGTATGGATGAAATAATAGTGTAATTGATTTTGTTATTCTATCGTTGTGATCGAGTCGGATCGATCTTTAGTTCTGTGTTCATCGCGCAAGCCGGTTGTAAAACATGATCGATCTTCGGAGGCTGTTGCGAGGGCGTGCGCGAGCGTGCGCGGATTAAAAGGCACAATTAAAAATACTCTAATTACCCGTCGTACTTGCAGATACCTCTGAGATGCTACTGCGGGGATGTAGATTGGAAGGCCTTCACCCTCTTCTGATAGTTACATATAAAGAGATCACTATATCTGTAAGCATCCGGCTCTTATGCTTTTTATTGGAAGCAGTTATCGACGGCGACGAAATTGTTAATTTTAAACGTCGTCTTTAAAAATTTCAACCTTTTTCCGAAGGACAGCCTTAGATCTTCCAGAGAATAAACTTTGCAGGTAGACAAAATCACTGTACCTCATAATGAGCGCGTTATGGTACGATGTCGAGAGTTGGGTAAATATAAGTTCATTGGCGACTCGCTGTTGCACTGCCGCAATGGTACATGGAACGGGAAGCTACCTAATTGCGTGCCTACCACGGCTATCTCCAATTACACTGGTACGTCGCTATGTCATCTTTTATTGGTTTTATTGTTCATTCATACAACGTAAATGCTAGAAAAACACTAAAAACATCGTCTAACAGACATTCAACGTTTCGAGCTTCGTTCAGATTTTCTAGGTATTTCTTTGAAATTTTGTTATGCAGAATGACAATTTAATCTGTTATTTTCTCATTGTTATTTTCTCATTGACCTCATATTGTTCGAGGATGAATAGAAGACGTACCACCAACTATCGAGTTTGGCTTACCTACTGGATCGGCCGCCGTAGAACCAAACGGAGCACTTGCCGTCTTTCCAGGAAGCATCCTGCACCTGGAGTGTCTCTTCGCGAGGAAGCTGGGCAATCCCGAATGGACATGGACGTCTACCTTCCGTGGATATATGACGGGTAACCTATCTCCGTTCTATAATCATAGAACAAGTTTCTAACACGAAAAAATGAAGCATTGAAATTTTATGTTATTGATCGAATAAGTTTACTCTAATATGTACATGCAGAAAAATATATACAAGTAAATATTATTTGTTTCAAATATTTCATAAGTTTATATATTTACAAATAAGTTCGTATCAAATAAGTATAAGTTAGTATCAAATTTATTCAAAATACGTTTAGAATTCCAATAAGTTTAGCATTTTAATCAAGGAAATTAAATAAAAAAAAAATTCAGTTTGTCTACTACATAGAGGTGAAGTAACATTCCCTTCAATAAAATTTTATAATATTCTTATAAACAGTAAACATTCGTTTTTTGGGTATATATTAATAAATTTGGTTAGTAATTAAGAATTTGGTTAATATATTAGTAAATTTGGTAAATGTTTACCTTTACACAGCCAGCTCCAAATGATTTCCGAGTAACCTTGATGTTGACCCTGACCTTCAAGGAGGTCAATTGATCTTTATCGGCGCTCATTATTTGTTAAAAAGTTATTAAAAAAAGAAGTTGCATAAAATAAATGTAATTTTTGGATACTATATATAAAAAACACGCAATTTGTAGGCTAGGAAGGTGCCAGCCGTACGTACACACACACACATACACACACAACACGCACACACTGTTCGACTGCACGCACGCTCGCCCGCCCGCCCGGGCGGGCTCGCGGTGTGTGCGTGTGTTCCTATTATAATTGAAGTTTTATAAATACACACTTTTTCTCATACTTTTGTGAGAAATTTTCACTCTTTAGCTTAAGTACAACAGACGTGCCCCCCCATCCCACCGCGCTGCTGGGAGTCTGGAGAGCGTTGTCCCCCAGTTACACGGCTAGAGACAGACATTTTTTTTATTCATATCTCAGAAATTATAAGCGATCGCCATATAATCGTGTTTACATTAAAAAATTATAATAACTTACACAAAAAGCACTTGGCATGCCTTTTTTTTATAGACAAAAGGTTCTCATATTTTAATGACTATCAAAATATTATATTAATTATTAATGTAATATTAAAAAAGGCACGCCAAATGATTTTTATGTAAGTTATAATTTTTTTCAACATTATATTTCTCTAATTATTTTATTTTTTATTTAATAATATATTACTAACATATTAATAATATATTTAATTTATAAATATATTATATAGCCAAAACCATATATGTTTATAAAAGTAAAAACTGAAATGATTAATCGCACTTGGCGTATACCTCTTGATATCATTATTTTTGTGGAGAGTATAAAATTGTCTTGTATTTTTCAATAGAGTATTCGCGAAAGTACAATTGATCTGAATAAGGTTGTTTTAATAATATTTTTTTAAATATATTTCAGCTGAGCTTTTGTTGTAGTTTATTTATAATGATTTTTTTTTGTAAAGACAAATAATGCTAAGGCGCGTGCACTTGACTTCTTTTTTACTTTTTTTGAAAAAGTAATTTTGTTTTTATATCACATCTTTTTTTACAAAATAATATTAAACATTGAAAACGAGTTTCTTTGTTAATAATTTTATACGTTGAACTTGGACATTGTAAATATTTAAGTGTATATAAAAAGCAGGTTCTTTAAATTTTATTTCAGAATAATTAATTTTTATATAAAAAATGTGTTTCTGTCTCTCCGTCTCTGTCTTTCTCTCTCCCCCTCTCTCTCTTTTATTATTTATTTTTTATATGTTTATTTATTTATTTATTATTTTATTATTTATATTCCGACGTCTATACAGCCCATTTAATTTAATAAATTACGAGTCGGTAAATCGATAATCGTAATATATATCTCCTTTATTCTTTTTCATCTTTTTATTCTCACCGTATTTATTTTTCTTACTGTTTTTATAATAGTTCAATTATTTTTCTAATAGTTCAATATTTACTGCATTTAGCTCTCTTTCTCTGTTTCTCTTCTTCCCCCTCTCTCCTCTTTCCTTTCTCTCTCCTTCCCCCCCTCTCTCTCTCTCACACACAGTCTCTCCCTTTTTCTCTTTACAACTCTTTTATTTTCTGTCTAATAATGAAATATGACAGTAACAACTTTTTTGATGAATAACGAATAATAATAATGAATTACTTTTAAAAATTAACCTTTCCTATTTTACTATCTTGCATCTCTTTATTTTCTATCTTCTTGCTTTGTTTCTATTTTTTGTTACTTATCTGTCTGTGTACTATCTTCTCTCTTTATATTTTCTCTTTTTCTTCTCGCTTTCTTTCTTTCTTCCTTTCTTCTTGCCTTGTTTAAAAATAATAAAAGTAAAAATAATAAAAGTAATAAAAATAAAAATAATAATAAAAATAATAAAATAACATAAAAAGTATCCTAGTTATATATCCTTATAAATTATCCTATATTATATAAAGCAATACATATTTATTATCGCGGCAGACAAAAAAAATTTATTTATTTATTTATTTATTTATTTTCTATCCTTTAATTTATTCATTCTCTTACTCACTGATATATTCCTCTTGTCTTTCCATCTCGCTCTCTTATGGTTTTTTTACCGTCTTTATCTTCATTTTTTCTGTCTCCTCTTCATTTTTTCTCGAACATTTTCTCCTTCTCTCTTTTTTTCTTCTCCTTTTCTTTTCCTTCCTCTTCTCCTATCTCCTTATTATTTAATTTAGCTATAAAAAGTAAAAACGACACAAAGTATTCAAGTTTTACATAGTTATATATTTTTATGCATTCGCCGATATTTATCTGATATTATCCTTGTTAATTCCATAGCTTTTCTACAAAATTATCACAGTAAACATATTTCGCAACTTTTAAAACTATTATATATTGAAAATATAACTCCATTCTCGTACGCGCGAACTGTCAATCGACTCTACCGTAATGACAGTTACAAATCGGTAATCGTGACACTCTCGTTATCCCGCCATCTAACGAAGAACATAGTCAACGGACATTTCTATGGCGAGGAAACGTTTCTTACGCGTAAATTTACGACTTCAGACTTTGAACTAAGATAGTTCAGCTTCGGGAGCACGTAGAGAAAAAATAAAGACAGTTTTATCAAATAATGTAAACCCAAGGAATCGATTAAGACCCTCCAGAACTTCGTTAATTCAGCCGTTATAGCCGAAATGAGAATTTAACCTACATTCAACTAAAGTCGTCGCGTAATTATACGGTAGGCTGCGTTGCTTCGCGCTTGCATTTGGTTTCGCGACAGTACCGTGTCGCTTGATTAAGAAAAAGTGTGTATTTATAAAATTTCAAATATAATACGAACACACGCACATACTGCGAGCCCGCCCGCGCGTGCAGGCGAGTAGAGAGAGAGAGAGAGAGAGAGAGAGAGAGAGAGAGAGTGTGTGTGTGTGTGTGTGTGTGTGTATATGTGTTACCTTTTTATTAATATTTGGGCATATTCGTGTACTGTTTATCATATTTCTATATACTGTGTGCAAAAATAACGTTCAACTTTTAAAACTTTTTTGTTAATAACTTTTTAACAAACAATGAGTACCGATAAAGGTCAATAGCATTGAACTCCTTGAGGGTCAAGGTCAATATCATTTGGAGCTCGCTGTGTAAAGGTAAACATTTACCATAAATTTTTCTAAAATTTGTGGTGAATATTTTAACACTACTATCAAGAAAATATTATTTGTTAATGATATTCTTTGTTAATGATAACCATTAAAGATAATTGTTACTTAAAACAAAGAAAGTATACTGCGTAATCGCTTTTCCTAGCAGTATATAAAATGACATTTTTCTGTATGTAGATTTAAATTATTTATTTAGAGAGACTTAGACACATATTACTTCATTCTTCTTATTCACATACACACACCTATATCATTCGTACTTCATTTACTTATTCACTTCAGGATGGGCAATTGCTGCTCGAGAGAGAGACTGGAAGTATCGTTTGTCAATATATTACGCTAAGCCACATAATTCCGGTGTATTCACGTGCACCACGCCCAAAGGATTGTCAAATTCTATACGAGTCCGTGTTATAGGTATGGCCGTGTTATAGGTATTTTAAAAAATATACCTTAATATTATAATATTGTTACCTGCAAGCCGTTATTGCGGTTTTGCAATACTCCCGGTCAATACAGTAATGTTTAAAAACTTATGCCCTCTAATTTAACTACACCAGAATTGTGAGACGTATTAAATCGATCGCAGTAAGGTTAATAAATATTTCGATAATATTATTTCTTAAATTCGTAACGCGTACCGATTTAATTTAAGAGAAACAATGAGAGAGAGAGGGAGAGGAAGGGGAGAGGGGGATAAGAAAGGAGGGAGAGAGAGATTCAGCTGCCTTACGATTTCAATTTTGTCTTGTAGATGTTCAATGTTCAGTGTTAACTGTCCCCGAGCCACCGTTGATAAGTCGCATCGAGGGCAGTCGAATGGGACATAATGCCATTTTCGAATGTCCAATGGGATACAGACTAGAAGGTGCTCCCGATATAACGTGTCAGTACAACGGTATGAAACGGCTTGTTTTACGATGAAAGCGATAATCCGGGAGAAAAATCATATTGTATATAATTGTTACTTTTATCGTTATTTTAGTTATTTTGATTTAATAGATAATGCGCTGGTTGCATACTGATAGCGTGTATTAAGTATTCTTGATTGGATAGAAATACATCGATATTCGCTGGAAAACATACATGCTTTGGAGCTAACCGTACCGTAGCCAAATCGTACTATTAAAACTTTTATTCGCATTTTTTATTTGCCTACCTAATAGATCTTTTTAATAGATCTTTCTTAAAAAGGTTTTTTGCGTTTTTTTAGCACGTAATTTACCCTTATAGAAATATCATACTAAGAATCATTGATAATTATTTATTTTCAGTATTAAAAATACTGGATAATAAGTAATTATTAATGATTCTTAGTATGATATTTCTATAAGGGTAGTACGTAATCTTATTTTATTCTTCGCGTAAAAATAATTATGCAAAATCGGATCTTGCAATTTAGCTGTCAAAAATTTTTAATAAATTTAATTTAAATATTTTAATTTAATATATTATAAGTATGCTTAAAGTAATTCACTTTTGCAAGAAAGTATGAAACAAGAGAGAAAAATAGTGTATTACTAAGCATATCTATTATTAAATTTATTAAAAACTTTTAAGAGTCAAATTGTAAAATTTGGTTCTGTACCGATAATAATTTTTGTGTGAAGAATAAAAGATAAAAAGATAAAATCAAGCTCATAAAGAAATATTAATTCTCTAAGATTATATTACAGTTAAAAATAATTCGTTTTTTTTTAATGAATTGACAATACTAGAAATAATAATTTAAACTTGAAAATAATAATTTTATTTAAAAATAAATTACGTATTTTATTTTAATATTATGAAAAAAGTATCGAAAAAGTTACCAAAACTGTTACTTTTTCAGTAACGGTAACAATAACAAGTTACTTTTTAAAATTAGTAAATGTAACAAGTTGCTTTTTACAAAAAGTAATGGTAACGGTAATACGTTACATTTTTTAAGTAGTTTTCAACTCTGAAATTTTGTCCCTATGTAGCCATATATAATTATACATAATTATATATATCCATAAAGAAAAAAATACTGTTATACAAATACAATCGCAGTAAATATTTATGCTTTTGACAGCAGATTACATGGACGTTTATTTAAATCAAGTTATTTTTTTCTTTTTTATTTAACATTATTTTTTTCATGTGGACATATATAATTATATATGTGACTATATAGAAACAAAATTTTCATGTATAATTTATATATAATTTTATATATTTATATGTAATTGTTTTCCCGGGAAGATACTTAATGAGAAGAAATATTTGTAGGAAAGTGGTCAGCAGGTATACCGTATTGCAAGAAGGTCACGTGTCCGTCGATAAATACTCGTGATGGTGTATTGCTGCAGCTGACTGATCAGAACAATACTTTTGGCGAAATAGCTATTTTTACTTGCATGTGGGGACATAAACTCTCTGGGCCGCAAATTATAAGGTGCGAAGCTGACGGTAGATGGAATGGATCTATGCCAACTTGTTTAGGTAAGCCGTTAATTTCTTAATTACAAAACTTATATAAGGGAAAACATTCTCTTATCTAATAACTGCTAAATAATTAATAAATTTTTATATACTTTAATATTTGATAAAATTCGAACAAGAATGTCGAAAATTAGTGATTGCCATAATAGGTGCTGTACGGAGAGAATATTATAATTTTTTTCATATAAATTCCTTTTTATTATTAATATTTATTTATTATTTTTTTAATAATCCAGAAATAAATTGTTAGTAAAGTCTATCTTGCTAAGGAACATGATAAATTTAATTGGAAACATAGTAGATTACGCTAAAAACATTGCAAGTATTTCAATAGCATATTTTACTTCCTAAAATATGGTAGCATATATGAAATGAAATAATAATTAATTACTGTCAATCTATTCTTCAATTATAAAATCCTATAGTACTCTTTATTATACAATTATTTTTATGTACTTTTTATTATACAATTATTTTTATGTACTGGACGTTTTTCTCTATTCTCAAGAGAATGCTTTTGCAACTTTGCTAAAAAATAATATTGTAAATAATTGTGAACAATGTTCGTAGAAATTACTTGTCCTGTGCCAAAAACGCCATTGAGCGGTAGTATCGTCGAGCAAACTCGACACTCCAACAAAAAGCAGTATGTTAACCGAATATATAAAGTTGGTGCATTGGTGAGATTTGCCTGTTTGCCAGGTCATCAATTAATAGGAGAGGCTTCTATCATATGTACCGAGAATGGCACTTGGTCTCATCCCCCGCCAACATGTAAGTGTATGTAATGATTGAGATTTACTCTCTAAGTTTTTTGGACTGAATTTCCACTCATTTAGTATTATTTATATGTTACATGGATTCCCTACAAGATTCCATTTATATTTTGTAATAGAAATATAATATTATTACATAAATTAGGTAGTAAAAATTTTTATATATATGTTATTAATAATATTTAAGAGAGAAATGCAGGTTTTCTAGCGTCTTTATTTATAAATATACTTTTTAAAAAATTTTTAAATAAGTAGAATAAAAGGTGGTATTATGGCTTCTCCTTTATATTTTATACAATAACTTTGTCATTAATCAATATTTTAAATTAAAGATTTATGATTATATTTGCCAAAGTATTGTTTAATCAATTTTAGATTCATAATGTTTATTACTTAGGACAATATTTATAAAAATATAGCGAAATATATTTATAAAAATGTAGCGATTTTGTGCATAATAGGTCGAAGAGAAATAGGGATGGTAATGTGGCCTCCTCACTAAATTAGATTTTTAAAATTTGTTTTATTAAAAAAATTATATTTTGTTACAAATTTATAAACTTATTCAAAATAAAATCTTAGAATAGTTTTTATACAAAATAAATAGATTTTTAAACTTAGCTTTAATTATTTTTTTTTAATTTACAATACATGTAACGTGAACTATAGATTATCAGTAGAACTATAATTAGCTTATCAAATAACTACTTCGACACAAAAACTTCGAAAAAGAAGCATATTATTAGCTTATCATGTACGTCTAGAGGACGTATTAGTAAAACGTTATGCTATTATTGAACTTTGCTTAACATAAAATGTGTACAACATAAAATGTTAAATAACAAAATACTGAAGTGTACATATGTTATGGTTAGTGTATATGATAATACGCCTAAATTTAAGAAAAATAAGAAAATATGTATAATAACATACTAAAATATACTTTGAGAATATTCCAAAATGTTCCGAAGTGAAAATGTGTTGTAACTAATTCCAGTTATTGTCTATTGATATATTAGTACCAGTGCGTAATAGCAGTCTATTAAACTAATAATTACATAAGTCATTCCTGGAATCTGCCACTTAACAGTGGAGATATTAAGAGGGACCAATATACGATATACGAGCTATAATATCATTTTCTCCTTTATCTTTAAAGAATTCACGGCAACATGATGATTATAAGCTCTATTGTCCTTTCTTTGTAATATATACTATTAGAATCATGATATAGAGTGAAGGATTCGCTTTACAATACGGAGCAAAAGAATTCACTTCACAATATAGAGTGAAAGAATTTATTTTTGAATAAAATTTTAGCCCAAGAAATTTAAAAAATACAATATATAATATGTAAGTTGTGTAATTTCGTAAAGGATATAAAAAAGAAGCCAAGTGCACGCGCATTAGCATTATTTGTCTTTACAAAAAAAAAAATCGTTATAAATAAATTTCCACAAAAGTTCAGTTAAAAGATATTTAAAAAAATATTATTAAAATAACTTTATTCAGATCAATTGTATTCTCGCAAATACTCTATTGAAAAATACGAGACAATTTTATACTCTCTACAAAAGTAATGATATCAAAAAAAGATTTACGCCAAGTACGAATGATTTAATTATTTTAGTTTTTACTTTTATAAACATATGTGGCTTTGGCTATATAATATATTTATAAATTAAATATATTATTAATATATTAGTAACATATTATTAAATCAAAAATAAAATATTAAGAGAAATACACTAATATTGAAAAATAATTATAATAACTTACAATAATGTTGAAAAAAATTATAATAACTTATAATAATGTCGAAAAAAATTATAATAACACACAAAAAGAACTTGGCGTGCCTTTTTTAATATTACATCGATAATCAATATAATATTTTGATAATTATTGAAATAAGAGAACTGTTTACTTATAAAAAGAGACACGCTAAATGCTTTTTGTGTAAGTTATCAAGAACCGCGGTCGCGGTGCGACGCCG